ACATACACAAACACAAACAAGTAGGGTGAGCTAACATGCAACAAATCATTTATAAAACATGCATAATTACTTTGATACACTCAACAAACATCATATAATAATTATGTCAAACACCCTCATACCATCATACAACAATCGCACCATAGATACTCATCCCATCATACCACAATTCCTAATAGACACTCATCCCACAATACCCCATAAACACTCATCCCACAATACTCAATAGACACTCATTCCACAATACCCAATAGACACTCATTCGGATGATACGTTGACGAGCGGTCACGGGAGGTTATGCACTTGTGATGACTTCTACTTCTTCTTACAAATACACTTCCAAAATACTCCCTACCATCCACAAGGTTAGTCCTCAACACTATGTCCAAAACCGACACATAGACCAGGACCTCCTGCCCCTCTCACCACATAATTCATCCTTCTCTACTTGAAATTGGATGATTATTAGAGTATGAGGATAACCTCCAACAACAGGACCCTCAACATCAACATATACACAAATATCATATCATTACAGAATCTCTCCACGAGACTCATACCATGCTCATATTCCTCAACTCATATTATACCATTACAAAATCTCCCCATAATACTCATATCATGTTCAGATGCATAAATTCAAATCTAATATAATAAAATACAATCATCACAGAAATCATACAAAATGAATATATCACAAAATAAATTAACAATACTAAAATATCACCATAAATGGTCATCGGAGAAGAATCAAATGTTTGACGAATCAAACTCACCATAAACGCTTGTACATATGACTAGTCACAACTTACTGGATTTGACCAGGGTTGCTCTATGATCAGGGATGTACCAACTCCGGTTTTTAAGATTCCTCTATCCTACCATCACAACTATAACCTTAATATAAATGTTCTGGGGAACTAAGGAGTTGAATCTGGCATAGCTGGTTAGACATCTTCTTATCCTTCCAGAAAGATGAATTCATCACATATTTTATATCAATTGAGTATATTGCATAATAGTTTTAACAGTACTTAATCTGTTCAATAGGATTTAAGTTAAAAACCTATCGAGTAGAGTTCTAGGAAAGAGAGGTGTGTCACCATGGACAACTTAAGTACCAAGTCTTTCCTTAGCCAAAGTGTTCCTCAACTAGTTTTTAACAAATTTCTTATTTACATATTCAAAACAACAACATATAATATTAACACAGAAATTCAATACAACAAACACCTATGTTTTTCATTAACAATATTCACACAGAATTTCAAGACATGAATAGTAATAAAACAATACTAAATCATAATATAAAAGCTTAGAAATGTTAGCTCTCCTACCTCTATTCCAGACTTAATCTCTTGCTCAGAATTTGTTTCCCCGAAAACTCTCCAGAACCTCTACTCTTCTTGCAACTAAAAATTTCTTCCTAACTCTTTCTTCTCTATTTCTCAAGATTTCTCACTTGATTCTTCCTCTCTTTGTGCAGAATAACCTCCCCTCTCATGACTATTTATAGTCCAAAAATTTTACTATTTAACAATTTTTTAATATTATTTATTATTTTAATATTATTTTATTATATTAATATTTTAATCACCACTTCATATCTGATCCCTCACCTTCAAACGTAGAGTGCTTATCCACTATCACTATTTTAAATTTTTTTTAAACAACAAAGTAGAAAAGAGTTTGAACTCATGTTCTTGAAATCACCACAATTTTATAACAATTAAGCTACCAAAATTTCTTATTTAGCTTTCCACATTTTATTTTTACATAAACTTATTATTTATATTTTCCATTCACAAAGAAATTATTACTACTAGTAATAAAATTGTTACTATTAAGGTTATGGGTCTTACAAGTTTTAGAAAATTAATATCAATAAATCATCCATTAATGTTTAATCTCACGCATAAAATATATACATTTCAACACGAAGATTAAACTTAAAATTCACTTTTTAACCATATTAATCTCAAAGGATTAACTTAATATACTCTCAAAAAAAAAAAAGTCTAGTATTTGAGTATTATTACTTGATACTTTTTAGTGTTTTCAATAAGAAATAAGTATATTTGATTATAATGGTTAAATAAGTTATATGAATTTTATCAATTAATTTATTCTTATTAGCTTACTTTGTTTAGCTTTTAGTTGTTTAGTAAATTTGATAATCACACAAATAACTTTTATAGTCTCACAGCAATATTAACAACACTTTATCCGGACTATGTTTTCGAATTTTAAAATTCCTTCTCTTAAAACACATATGTATTTGTGAAATATATTTTGTAAGGTTATATGTATTGTTTACGTATATTTAGTTTTATCTTTTACTTTTAAAGTAACACTAATAATAGATTACATTTATAAGTTATCGAATTTAACTAGTAACATTTCTAAATTGTCAACATTTGCCAATTTAAACTCCCCCACGTTAGTTTCAATCAAATGAAAAGGATACGGAATAATTTGAAAAATGAAGGATCAAAGTCAAATTTTAACATTAGTCACATAAAATTCAACAAATTGATCCTTTAAATTTATAACACAAACATTATCATTTTGAACAGAAAAAAAAAAAGCACCATAACCATTCTAAAAATTAAAATATTAAATTAAACTTTTTCAGAATAAAGAAACTAAAATGGTCAAAATAATAGGTTGCTTCTTTCTGTATGAACACAGTTTAATATCTGTCAATTTAAACTTTGGAACACCATATAACAGAATAAAATATACCTCCTTGATATTTGTGCACGTTCCAATCTCTTTATGGCCACATCTCCTTTCTTTTGATTTTGATCCCTTATTTCTAAAATTTCACCATGTCTATTAAAATTACAAAATAATAAATTTATATACGGTGTTCGCGGTATACTTTAGTTCGTTTTTCTATATTAAAAATAAGTATTCAAATCAAACATAAAATAATATGTACACTTTGGTTTCATTTAGTTTGAAAGAACAAAATTATTTCAATCATTTAGTTTTAGTTTTTTCTATTAAAAATGTATTCTTTCTTCTCATCTTTTAACTTAAAATATAATAATAAAGAAATATGTTGCTCAAAATCTATGAAATAATAAACTAATTGAATTAAAAGATTGAGTATTTAATATTATTAAAAACTAAAATTATATATCCTTACAGTGTAACAAAAACAAATACGAATAGACAATTTAAAGATCAATCCATATAAGATAAAAATGCAATAACAAGTTATGTGAGATAAGGTAGTTAATAGTACCATCATGAAGAGTTAACAAAGTCTATGGTAAAGTGAAATAAAAGAAACTCGTAGAAGGTTGAAATGTATAATTTATTAATATATGGAAGACATGTTATGGTTTAATTTAGTTTGGTGTTGGATTTTAAAAATTCAAACAGAAACAATTCGATCGTTAGAAGAAAAAAGCAAAATCCAAAAACTTCTTGTTTTTTTTATTTATTTATTTGAATGAACTTTTTATTTTTTTAATCTGTTTTACTCTGTACATCTCTAAATTTATATATGTGTCTTTTAAAGTTTAAAAATCGAACTTATCAATATAAAATTACAGACTTTGGCTATATTCAGTGAAAAGTACAAAGATTGAAAACGCATTGCTTCCAAATATATTTATTTTGATTACTTTCTCACTATTGGAAGGGTGTCGTGGTCCTGTTTGCTAAAACTACTTTGCATAGAGACCATATAATTAATAATAATTTCACAAGAAGTCCTTTTCTTCCCTCCAAAATAAGGCTCTTTGTTACGTCTTTTACAAAATAAAAGGGTCAACTCTAGTAAACAGACAAAACATACAAAAAGATGGAAAGGTAAATTTATTGACAAAAACAACGTGGCAGCTTGTAATTTAATGTTTTGTTGTCCACACAGAACAAGTCTACTGTGTCTTGGCAAATGGTCTTAAGTAGGTCCCCCTTCAATTTAAGCATAGGATGTTGATTCTTTGTTTATGTCTTATTATATAAATTTACGTCTATTACCGTAGAAGTAGATGTAACTTTGGTGCAAATTTGATAAAAATAAAGATAAAATTTACATTTATTTCATAGATAATATTCAATATACGTAAATTTCCTTTTGTTATTAAATCAAGCGACATAAATTTACGTTGTGAATTTTAACATACTTAAATTTACGTTGTGGATTTTAACATACTTAAATTTACGTTGTGGATTTTAACATACTTTGTCTTTTAAAATTACGTGTTACTTAGTCTTACCTGGACTTAGAAAAAAAACTAAAATATAACGAGTGAATGAGTTTCATGTGAGTAGAAGATTGGCAGCACCATAGTAGATCGGTGGAGATGGAAGAAGAGGTAAAGGAGAAGCTTTTGCATGAGCAAAAGGAGAATTGTTTGGAAGAGGAAGAGTCAGTGGGGAAAAGGGTATGGGAAGAAAGCAAGAAGATGTGGGTGGTAGCAGGTCCTGCCATATTCACAAGGTTTTCAACTTTTGGGATTGTGGTTGTTACTCAATCCTTCATTGGCCATATTGGTTCAACTGAACTAGCTGCATATGCTCTTGTTATGACTGTTCTAGTCAGGTTTGCAAATGGGGTATTGGTAAGTCTTTCTTTTCTCTTCATCTTCTTCCTTTGGCTTGTAAGTGAAATCCAAGATTTTGAAATGGAAAATTGTAGATTGGCATGGCAAGTGCTTTGGAAACTCTTTGTGGTCAAGCATATGGAGCCAGAAAGTATGACATGCTTGGAGTGTATCTTCAAAGATCATGGATAGTGTTGTTCATGGCCTCTATATTCCTTCTTCCTATTTACATCTTCACCACCCCTTTGTTGGAGGCTCTAGGCCAAGACAAAACCATTGCTCGAGTTGCTGGAAGCATTTCTCTCTGGTCAATTGGCATCATATTTTCTTTCACTGTGTCATTCACCTGCCAAATGTTCCTGCAATCACAGAGCAAGAACAAGATCATTGCCTACCTTGCAGCAGTTTCAATTTCATTGCACGTTTTCCTGTCATGGCTTCTAACTGTTCAGTTCAAGTTTGGGCTCAACGGTGCACTCACATCCACACTTTTGGCATATTGGATTCCAAACTTTGGCCAGCTTGTGTTTATCATGACCAAGTGCCCTGACACATGGAAAGGTTTCTCATTCTTGGCCTTCAAAGATCTTTGGCCTGTTATCAAACTTTCTCTCTCTTCTGGGGCTATGTTATGGTAAGATTTTATCCACTTTTCATAACCAGTTTCACTTCATAATTTCTGATTTCAGAAGTCAAAGTGTTAAAAAAAGCAAGTTTTGATTAGTGTTTTTCTTGAGTGCTGCTAACTTTATGTTGCAGAAAAGGAAATCATAAAAGATATATATCACTGACTATGGTTCCTTTTACAGTCTTGAGATCTGGTACAACACAGTTTTGATTCTTCTTACAGGCAACATGAAAAATGCAGAAGTTTCCATTGATGCTCTGGCCATATGGTAACTGTAATCTGCTTGTTCTTATTGTTCAGTTTATTTAATGATAGTAACATTGTATTCTTCTATCACTTTGTGCAGTCTCAACATCAGTGGATGGGAAATGATGATAGCTCTTGGATTCTTTGCTGCTGCTGGGTACCTTTTTTTCTTTTTAAACTTTTCTTTTCTCTTTTTGTTGCCTTTTTATGTTTAGTTTCTAAATATAAATTTTAAAACATAACATGTTCACCAAAACGATAATTTAAATGAGTTTCTTTAATTGCATACATTTTATATTTATTTTAAAATTAAACATTTTTATTGTATATTTAACATTGAAAAATATAGTATTGTTATTTTTGATAAAGATATTTTCATTATTAATATCAAGAAATTATTAACATACCATTATCACTCTATTATAACTAACTGTTATTGTCATCATTATCACTCTATTACAACTAATTACTATTGTGGCATCATTATCACTCTATTACAACTAACTATTATTGTCGCATTACGTATAAACATATTTTTAACATAGGAAAAAATCAATATTAAAATATATCATTATTTTATTTAAAATTTATTTTCAAGTATTTTGAGATATTTTTTTCTTAAAAGCCTAAAGTAATTAATATTAATTTTTTTTAGAGTTAAATCAATAATTTTCTCTGATCTTGAACCGTTTATATATATATATATATATATATATATATATATATATATAAAATTTCTTATATTAAAAAATAATAGCATTTAAATTTTCATATTTATATAAATAAGTTTATCTTCTAGGTTTAACATACCTTTTTTAGTGAATTAAAAGGTCCAGTTTTTTTTTTTTTTTTTTAATTAAAGAGACTTTTTTAACAAAATTAACCTAATTTATTTCCCAACAATAGGTTTAACTATTCCACAAGTTCCGGTAAGGCAATTTAGGTCTGCAATAGATATAATTAAAAATATTTTAAATTATCAGCCATGATTAACTTTTGTACGACATTTATGATAATTAATTTTGAAAATGAAAAAACTTATAGTTTTGATTTATATAGAACGACAATATAAAAAAAAGTTACGTGCTATCTGTTTATCTTAATAACTCTTTTTTTACCCATCTAAACTTTTATAATATTTTTTAATACGTTTAAGTTAATGTAAGATATTATAGGTTAAAATTAGATTATAATAACTAGAACACTAACACGGTACAACGAATATTAAGAGCAAAACTCAAAAAAATCTATAAGAAAAGTGTACTTACAAGGTTGATATTGATGATTTTGTGCAGTGTTAGGGTTGCAAACGAGCTTGGAAGAGGGAGTTCAAAGGCTGCAAAATTTTCCATTCTGATAACAGTTCTGACATCATTTGTGATTGGATTCGTTCTATTTTTGATGTTCCTGTTTCTGCGGGAAAGACTTGCTTATATTTTCACTACAGACCCTGAGGTGGCTAATGCAGTTGGTGATTTATCACCATTGCTCTCATTTTCCATCTTGATGAACAGTGTTCAACCTGTGCTCTCTGGTATTCTTTTCTTCTTATATTTAATTTCCTGAAGGATGGTAAAATGTCTGAAGCAATTATTATGCACTTGTAATGTTTTTATGAATAGGAGTTTCTGTTGGAGCTGGGTGGCAAAGCATTGTTGCATATGTAAACATTGGCTGTTATTATCTTATTGGTATTCCTGTTGGAGTGCTTCTTAATCACTTTTTCCATTTGGATGTCAAGGTAATTCATTCATCTTCTGCTACTTCTTTTAAACTCACGCAATCATTCAAACTTTTGTAAAATTTAATTGTAGGGTATTTGGATTGGAATGTTGTTTGGAACATTTGTTCAGACCGTGATGCTTATTACGATCACATTGAAAACCAACTGGGACAAGCAGGTAATCGATTTTTCTGTTTCTTATCACTGTTGATTTTCCATGTGCAGTGGAATTAAGCTTTTCATTTATCAATGTCACAGGTAGAGCTAGCTCGAAATCGCGTTAACAAATGGACATTGGTGGAGAACGAAGAACCAAACACTAGACCAACCATATCTAGCTAAACTCTGTATTTAGCTTTCATGTTTTGAGCTATCTCCATCATTTTTGTTTAATCAAAGTTAAAACCATACTTCAATTGATTTCCCATATAAATTCAAGAATCTGTTCTTGTCTTTTTACATCAAGAAAATTCGGACAGCTTCATTTTACACCAGTTTTTATACAAATAATGGAGAATCAAACTCCAAGTGCAAAGACTTGTGCAATAGTTGAACAACTGCAATTTTTAACAAACATATATCATAAAAAGTTGGGTTAAATATGTTTTTATCCCTTTCAGTGAAAATTGAAATTAGTCCCTCTTCAAAACTTTGGACTAATTTAGTCCTCAAACTTTAGAAATGTGTGAATTTAGTCCTTTTAACCAAATTTTGTTAACTTTATTTGATGTTTCAAACGCATTTATCAATAAAAATTGAAGCAAAAATATGTCAAAAAATATAAACAACTCAAATGCTATCATGAAACGCACTTGAAATATCAAATAAACCTAACAAAATTTAGTTAAAAGGATTAGATTCACACATTTTTAAAGTTTGGGGACTAAATTAGGCCAAAACAATTAAAAATGGACTAATTCCAATTTATACACACATAAAATATATATATATATATATATATATATATATATATATATATATATATATATACACACACACACACACACACACACTCATATCATATTGTATACAACCAGAAATACATATTATT